TCAGAGCCTGCAGACACAAGTTTAGAACCAGAACTTAGTGTGTGGGTTACATGTACAAACACTAAAGAACTAACCCATTAATGCACACACTGACTATTTGGTTTGTTCTTTAGTTGATGGTACAGCTTAAGAGTGACAGGAAAGGGGGAGAAGAAGGGGGAATGACATGCAGCAAAGGGCTACAGGCTGGATTTGAACCGGTAAAGACTCAGCCTTGGTACATGGGATGCCAGCTCTACCAGGTGAGCTACCAGGGCTCCCCACTTCAGGCTGAGTAAACAAGAACAAGATCTATGGAGACAAGCAGACATCACCTGCGACAGATTCAGGTGGAGAGTAGAACTGTCCGTCTGAAACAGCACGCGGGTAGATCATGGGGGCTCGTTCGCAGGCTGAGTTCACCACCGCTAGGTAGGCTGAGGTCAAAAGGCAAAAGATATTTCAAAAAGGGGGAGAAATACATTTTTGTCGAGTCGCGTTAAAACTTGCCAGGAATGTTCCTCTTACCTCTCTCATCATCGGCCTCCTGAGGAAGCACCTTGAAGTCGAGGAACCAGGTCTCCAGCCAGGCAACAACAAATGAAGTGATGGGTAAGACGTAGCCAAAGGCATTCTGGGACAGGAGCTGTGTAGAAAAAGAAACTACGTCATCATCTCAGGGGGCTGCAGGTCATTAAAAATACTAGAAGTACTATTACAACTTCCACAACAGAAGAGGTAGTTGTATTTCATGTTGGTTTACTTCCCCGTCACTGAATGCACAAAGTTAAGAGAGCTGTAAAAGTGTCTGTGATAAAGAACTTGACACTAAACTGAGGTCAAAATACAGACAACGAAATGTCTTTGATCCTTTTTGCTGCAGACAAAACAGTCAAATCATAAAAACAGCTCATCAGCTCAGACCGCAGATTTACTGGCATAAATGAGGAAGTGAAAAATGTTCTGCCGGTTTTCAATATGTTTGCAACACTCACACACTCACACACACTCTCACACTCACACATATATACAAGTGTGAAAGTATAGAGGGGGCAGGACACTCACATTAGATATGATGACTTTAGCAACGAGGAAGACGCTGGTCACTAGAGTGGTAACCTGTAGAGGAAGGAGTTGTATTATAACTCGTGTCCAGATCTTGCCAGTAAGAGAGTTGACATTATTTCATCAGTGTGTGTGTTTGACTCAGCTCACTTACCGCAATAACCCACCAATGCTTCAACCGAAAAGCAGCGTAACCCAGCTGCAGACACAAGAAACGAAACACCGCGAGGAGCTGAGACGAAAAAAGGAAAATGACCTCAGGCATTTAACGGTAACACGTGCCGCAGACATGTTGACTTATGCAAACATTTTCTCCTTTTGTGTCAATAAATGCAGACGTGCGACCAACCATAGCAGCTCATTCAGATACAATAAATCCGACTTTATAACACTATAAACCTGCTCTCTTTGAAATACAAGTAGGAGGTTTAACGTAAGTATCTGCTCGCCGATGAGCGGTCATTGAAGGGGCTCATCCTGATCATCTAACAATGAAATTAGACGTACGCAGACTTGGATTGACCCACTTACAAAGATGTCAAAGAAGGAAGACCTGTAGTCATAATGGATGACCTCGGTTTCTAAGCTGTCCTTGATTGAGCTGGAGATCTGCGGGAGAACAGAGTCCACATCAGAGTCAAACCATCACTGCTGTATAGACAGAAACCAAAAAGACTGTCTGTTAAACCCAACTGAACACTCACATTCAGCTCAATAATCCACAGAAGGGAGATGAAGAGCAGATCGAACGTCACGAAGAGACAGAAGGTGCGGCGGACGTCAGAGATGGCTTTGCGCTCTGCGGGCGGTACGAACAGGTACGGGGAAGGGAGGGACAGCGACGTAGAGTAGGAAGCGTTCAGGGAGGCGATGGCAGGGAGGCTGCCCCCGAGCTCCCCATAGTCTACACCTGGCATTCCTGCGGTGAGACAGGAAACTCCCCCTGCAACAAGGGAGAGAAAGTTGGTGGACTGCTGGTTATATTTAGTACCACTGTCCTTCTGTATTAACCAACACGGTGTAAATATATTAGATACATATACCTGTGAAATTCAGTGATAATGACAAACAATCAAGTGAACTAAGAAATTATCATTGAGGTTCAGATACAGCGGTGAATCGACATCCAAAAACATTTGGTGAACAAACCACGTTGCACTGAAGTTATCGGACATAATTCGGGCTTTCATTAGTCTGCACCTTGTGTGTGTGTGTGTGAGTGTGTGTGTGTGTGTGTGTGTGTGTGTAAAAAAAAGATAACAGGCAGTAAAAACAGCAGATAAATAACTTTCATTACTGTCACTGTTTTGAATGTAGTCTCATGACTTTCCATCAGGTTTAAGAGCCAAAAAAAAAACAACAACCACATGATCCATTTGTTATATTTTGATGCAGTTTGATTGTAAACGTTCATTAGTTTGTTGGCTGCATCATCTAAATAGATGTGGTTGAGATAAAGATCTTATGACAGAGTATTAGAGGTGTCATTGTTGTCTTATTTCCTCTCTGCACAAAGAACCACAGTCTTCATGTAATGCCACATTTAAGATAATGTTTCTCCATGGTCGATGTTTCCATTACACAACCAACTCCAGGACACAGAGACTGCTGCAGCATCCTCACACACAGATATACACACAGATATACACACAGATATACACACAGTGTGCCTTTATTTAACGATCAGTTGTTTGTTTGTTCTGGAGCATCTGTTGCTCTCAGGTTTCTCTCTGAATGCCTGTAACAGGAAGGGAGTTTGTTGTTCTCACTAACAAGTTTGACCACAGGACTCCAGTGAATCAGTCAAGGCTCCTCGTAGACAATGAACAACCGGTGTTAAACACAGACAGACAGACAGACAGACAGACAGACAGACAGACAGTCTCACGGTTTGATGTCTCTTGTCAACCATCGCTGATTAAACGAACATCAGCTAACTAACTAACCCCAGCGGGTGTTAGCTACTCTGGTTAGCTCACGCCGGCTAACTTAACGTTAAAAACCTTCGTGTTTTGTGAGCAACTTAACTCTCGTTTGCGGTTTAACGCCGTGAACAGCGATTTGAAACGAGAGAATAAAGATAGTTTTACCCCTACGTTACATTTTCATTAAAAAAAACACACATATTAAAGCATTAAACTCACTTGATTTACCGCAACATCATCGCCTGCCAGAGCTTCCGGGCTGACCTTTCAAAGAGTAAATATCGCGCCAAGATGCGTCGCTGCTCCACGATCGCCTGACCGCCATCGCTCTAAGAGTCATACTGCGCTATTACGTCATTACGTCTGACTTTGACGTTGGTGGAGTGGACGGTCGCTTGAGTGTACGTTCACCGGTGTTTGGCGCCCTCCAGTGGTCACAGTCCGCAACTACAGTCCCGTTTAAATGTGTTTTGAGTGGGAGAACTAAATAAAACAAATAAAGGATAATTCATGAAAATAAAAACAATCCAAAAGTCCAAGTTAACTTTACTACAACCATATTAATGTTAATTTATTGTAGTATGCTGCGTTGTGTTTCTGTATAGTGCCTTATGAGTGTATTAAGTGTGGAGTTTAAACCATCAGTTGTCCTTATTTCTTTAATTAACAAATGATTACACTTACATTGTAAACCTTTAGACGGTAAAACCTGCTTTGACAATATTGTTTTTACCTATGGTGGTACAAATAAAGCCAATTATGTTTTAAGAAATTGAATCACGTAAGCTATTGTGTCTTTAGTGTTTATATCGTGGTGTATACTGCCCTCTGGTGGACACAGCGCATAACTACATCAGTCCCATTGTAAGTTTTATTTTGAAAGCACAACCGGAAGTATAACTACGCTATTGTGTCCAGCTTGATAGCAACATAATGTAGTTACGTACAAATGGAAGAAGCTGATATTATTAGTGTATTTTAAGATAACAACTATGATAGTCTGCAGTATAAAAACATGTTGACTTTAATACCATGTAGTCAGACACAAAAGCGTAGCAATACTTTCCAAATAAAGCCTCTATAACTGACAGAGACAACCGTCAACTTTACCAAGAGTAAAGATGGATACAAAAACGTCACAGAAAAACTTCTGGTAACGACATACAAAATAAAGCTTTTTTTTTTTTTAGGTTTTAAGGGAATAAAAATGTCAGCTCGAAACATATTGCTTTAAAAACTGTCGCCATTTCAAAGCCGAAGTGTCGTAGTGAGATTTATCGTGTCTGAAATCAACAGGTCAAAAACGGGACGACCGCTAACTCTGTAAACAAAGCAAGAGAGTAAACCGTATTGTACTTCCGGGTTGGTTAGAAAACAGAATATGGCATTAAAAAAAAAGGCTTAAAACAAGTTTTTAAGCCAGATGTATAAACCCCTACAATATAATACATATACATTACATTTCACCTATGCACTGCAAAATGTTGAATCGTCAAAATTATGTCTTTACATGAATTCAAGAAAATTGAGGCCCTGTGTCCCAATTAGCGACCAAAAGAAGCAACAACAATAATAAAAAAAAGAATCTGAAATTGTAAAATTTAAATAAATAAATAAATAAAACTAAATCTACTGGCCTACTTATAGTTATTTTATGTTTTTTTTAATGACACTTAAACCCTGTTTGGTCAACCTTATAAAGACAACTTTATGTGAGTTTAGCTTCTTCTGTATCTTCATCTGTAACTATAAGTACGGGTAGGCTATCAGGTACTTTCTGGTTTATTTTGCACCAGAGAGGCCTTTTTTAAAAATTTCATATGGAATTAAGTTAAGATGAAGCCACGTGTCTAACTCATTATTTTGAGAATCATTATTCTTCATGTTCAAAAGTTTCAGTGTTTGTGTTTTATGGAGAATAGAAAAGAAATTTATGCTGCAAAACAAAATTAATGAAAACTCACATATCAGATTACACCACACACACACACACACACACACACACACACACACACAATACGTACAGATCAGTTTAAAGGAGAAAAGGGAAACTGTTTATTTTGATATATTGTCGCTCACTTTAAAACAACCACATCACATTGAGAAACAAGGTAATGGAAAAAAATAAAATAAAAATAAAGACAGAATAAGCATAAGAGTTCAAACATGTCTTTCCATGGTTGTTTTCTTCTGACCCGGGAGGAGAGGGAGAGGTGGACAGAGAGCGGAGGAGGGAGGACAGCGTTGGCTGCAGAGCCTCAACGCACACAACCTGCTCATCCAGTCATCCCACAATTTGGGCAGGTCAAAGGTTAAAAAAGTTCCACACCATTTTTATATACAAACCCAGATGATACAAACAGCAAGATTTATTCATCCTGTGGCACAAATGGAAACCTAATACATCAGATGCTGCATCTTCAGATAAACCAGCAATTAAATTATATAGATTCTGACTAAAAACATTGAAAAGTTGTTGTTGACGCCAAGAAAAGAGATGCCAAGTGAATATATGTGGTTAAAAAGACTACAGAAAGTTTGTGCAGTGACCATTTTGCTCAAATGTCAGTCATACAGTAACTGCAGTGCCTGGCTTTAGGCTTCCTCTGCTGAATGCTTTATGCAGACTTGCAAGTTAGATATAGAAAGTAGAAACAGGACAGAGCGGAGCTACTCATAAACTGGACATTAGATTAGAAAAATAGCTCTTACAACAGATCCATGGCATACAAATCATGAGTGAACAATTCAAAAGATGACAATAGAAAAGTGTTAACATACAAAAGGGAATCTGTGAGCACTGTGAAATCCCAAATGAGTCAACAGTGTTGGAAAAGATTTTAAATTTACATGTTTTTGATTCCTTAATGATGTCAGTTCACAATGAGTCGAGTTCAAATGCGCGATGCGTGGAGGCAACGGTTGGGTTCTGTATCTCAAACAAATCAGAGGTAGCTTTGCCCTTTAAAGTTTAATTTGAAGTAACGTGAAAAGTGTGGTATGAAATAACCACACTCACACTCACACTCACACCACACACACACACACACACACACACACACACACACACACACACACACACACACACACTCACTCGCTCATGGATTTAACACAATTACAGACATTTTGGTGCTTTTTTAAAAGTCATAATTAAAGTGATACTCCAACCCATATTTTGACCATAGGCTCGCTGACATTTTGTAAAATGTTACTTAACATATGGTAGGCAGAATAGAAGTAGACTATTATTATAAATTGTAACTAACATGAAACTTTTGATGTTCTTCTTGATGGATGAAACTGCCAACAACCACCTTTCAAGCTTTAACAATGAGTATTATTGTACAGAGACACAGCTACACCGTGTGAATACATTGAATAGCTTATTTCAACCATAAATAGCATTAAAACTGGATTTTATTCTATGGAAATATTAAGGATTTTAACTTTAAGCTCTTGATAAAAACTTAATATGTTTGGTTGGTGTATCACTTTAAACCTGTCAATCCTACTTTCCACCATGAGATGGCAGTACATGCACATTTACTAACAGGGCTAAATATTGAATTTGCTGCAAATCAGAACAATGATGTAGGCCATGGTTTCAAAATAAAGTGGAACAAACACCACACACATTTAAACACCTTCAAGTACCTTTGAAAGGGTCATATAAGAGTCTTTGTTAAAAATGTGCCCAAGAAAGTTTATGTGTGTGTTTTTGTGATTACTGTTAAAACTATTACCCTCTTTAAAGGAACATTTAGCTGTGCAGAAGCATTAAGGTCGAGGGAGGACTGGTCTTACAGGGTATTTGGTCATGTTGACCTTGGCCCCTCCACTCTCATTATAAACAAAGGGACATTAGGGCCAAAGTGGCGTCTATAGTCTGCTCTGTCAGTAGATCATTCTTCACCTGCTCATAAGGGCTGACTCCTAATACAAAACCTACCTCTCTGTCCTCTCTTTAATCCACCTCACCCTTTAGAGGTGAAGTAGTTCAGAAATCTTTCACTCACATGTTTGATTTCATGGAAGTATCTTTCATTTAGTTGACCCACAGCTTGCAACCTCACTTCAGTCTCTACACATTGACAACAAACAGCCTCATCTCTTCTGAGCTCTTCAGATTTTAACCATTTCACAAAACACCTTCACTCTCCCAAATTCTTCCCTACAATTTATTTTCCCTGCTCTCTCTCTCTCTTTCTCAGTTACTCCCCCGACTGTTCTCCTCAGTCGTTTCCTTGATTTTGTCCCCATCATCATCCTCCTCCTCCTCTTCCTCCTGTGCTGCTTGGATCTGCTTGGCCGTCTCTCTAACGCTGGAAAACTTTTCGGGTTGCTCAATGGTCGCCGTCTCTTGGTGATCTGAGGAGACAAAGACGGATGTGAAAAGAAGCAGTAAAGCTGTGACCAGTGATATCAGTGTATCACAGTTATGTGCCTTTGCTTTGGATTGAGATGCCTGTGAGTTCATTCTGGTGACAGAGATGCCTGGAGGGCAGGAAGAATTCAAACAATTAGTTGATTATTTGATTAGTTACTCAACAACAAAAATAACTGGAAACTATTTTGATAATCCATTAATTGTTCAAGTCATGTTTTTTTTAAGGAAAAACACAAATACTTCCCTGCTCCAAACCTGTTAAATGTGTATATTTACATTTCTTAGTTTTCTATGATAGTTTACAGAATATTCATGAGTTTTAGATGGCGGGTCAGACACTGGCACTATTTTCTGACATGTCATAGACCAAATGATGAATCAATTATTTGGGAAAATAAGATCAATTAAATTAGATTTTTACATGAAATTCATGTTTATTTGTTCCTTTCAACGCTGCAAATCCACTTCAGATATTCAGAAACAAACCGGATAAGACTGGAAAGGTGACTGTTTGTCCTTACTCTTGAAAGGTTTGTAAAGCTAACTGATTAAATAACTTGTTCACCTTGGTTTGTCTTCTGTCTGTGATAACACAGGCCGAGCCCAAACTGTGTTGCTCGAGTGAAAGAACAGATGAACTGTAATCAAAGGACCCAATCAGGATCCTACAACATCCTGTTTGGGTACTTTGTGTATTACCGGGCTTCCACAAAGGGATTTATTGAGAGAGTCTGTCATCTGGGCCGACAGAGCAATAATTCTGAATGAAATGCCACTGTTCTCATGTGATATAATGCAGATTAAAACCCAATAATTTTGCAGCATAAAACAAAATAATAATGGAGCCCGTTTCCAAAAAAGTTCACTTCAACTTGAGATTTACACAGATTTTGTAACAGCACATAACTCAAAGTCAAAAGCTTTTATACTCTGCATTAGAGTTTAAACTAACAGAAGAAGTGTTGAAACAGAGTAGAATACAGATCAGGATCAGCACAGACAGCCTGCTTATTAATCCTGTCTGGCCTCTCTGACTGGTATAAGTGTTGGGTCCAGGCCTTTAGTCGGCTGCAGTTTACCCTCTGACGGATTTGGGGCGAGAGACAGAGAGCTAATGTGACAGTGGTGCTGTCTCTCAGTGCACAGAGCTTCACCTGTACAGCTGGTCGGCCCACAGTGGAGCGCTGTTCTACTGGGAACAAATAGTTTATTGTTGTTTTTTTTGTTAAAGGTTTTATATCACATTTGAGAACAGGTTAAATAATAAAACAGACATTTTCTCAAGCAGAGTGTAAATATAATGTATCTGAATGAAAAACTAAACTCGGAGCCTTGTGAAATAATAAAACTTTTGCTTTTGTTGGACAAATTATCTATCTTGGGCAACTATTCAACACTGTAAACAGTATGTTTTTCTCACTGTTTAAGAAGGATTATCAATGATGACTTCTTGTAATGGGAGACAAATTTGTTCTGAAATCTCAAACTGTGTGAAATGTGTGCAGACATCATCAGGATAAATATAAAGGAAAGGTGCAAATTGGACCATTCACTCAAACCTGAAGGAAAAATACGCCTTTAGATACTCTAACACTGCATATATAATTTTGTCATTTTCATTTTTAGTATACCCATTTTCCCTGATTTTCAAGATAGCAGAATATAGATGCAGAATATGTTTCAACTAAAATACTTAAATATGTGAAAGCATTGCTGCAACATCAAACTCTCATTACAGTTATTAAACTTGATTGTAGATGTGCTGGAAATTGACATTGGTTCTGATTTTAGCAGTGTTTAAGTGCCACTGGGAGAATTTTTCTTCTACAGCAACAACAGTGTTGTCCTTGCTGCCACTGTGTGCAATGCTGCTGCTGTTGTGGTCCCAGCCAGTTGACAGAGAGCCTCCCTCTCACCAGCTGCTTTGGTGGGAGATGTATCCTCTCCCTCCTGTCCCTGCCAGTGGTCCTCCTCCTCCTCCCCTTCACAAGGGTCTTCCAAAGGGGGGTAAACACCTAGGTTCTGCATGTGTGCTTCAGCCATCTTCTGCACAGCTACACACAGGTAAACACAGCACACACACACACACACACACACACACACACACACACACACACACACACACACACACACACACACACACACACACACACACACACACACACACACACACACACAGGGAGACGGTCACACAGACACATGGAAACAGACACAGGGATAGAGGGACATGTTGTTTTGGTTTTACCAGCTTCAACACTTTATCAAGCCTCGCAGGGTTTTAAAAAAAAAATAAAAAATACAAGCCAGATAGGCAGGAAGCCAATTAAACACATGCACTGACAGACAGACAGACAGAAAGGCAGGCAACTGCAAAACGGTAGTCCACACTGATTTTTCCAGTAGAGCCTCCACTGTTGTTTTCCATCCTTTCTCTCATCCTGTTCTCCCATCTGTTTATTTGTACCCTCGTCTTTCCTTGACTGCGTGCCCTCCTCAGTGCTCTTGCTTAGCAGCGCTGACTCACACTCTCCTCTCTCCCACCCTATAAACTCTCCTCTCTTTTGCGATATCACCTCGACTCCCCCTCTCACTTCCTGTGGGTCACCTTGGCCTCTCTCTGTTTCACACTCTCAGTCGACAATGCGGCACTGAGGCAGGTCACTTATTCTCGCTTGAGGTAGGTTATGTAATTTGAAATTATTCCGAGATAGCTGTCTCTTCTACTCTGTGTGTCTGAGCTGATGAAGGGCAGATTTCAGATGCAGGAGCGAGGCTTCCTGGCTCATTATGTCATCACTTGACATGCAACACACACACACACCCAGAAATCCGCATTAAATGAAGCTCTGCTGCTCTGACATATAGATTTTTGCCCCTTTAATGACCACATGCAACACGCAAGAAGCCACATGCACAGAGATACAGAAGAAAGTACATGTTTGTGTTTATGTATTTCTATCCTGCCTATAAATGTGTTCGTGTCTGTGTGTGTGCCACAGCTGTATACACAACTGACTGTAATCCTGGATGATCCAGACTTTCCTAGACTCACATTCACTGTCTCACAGCTGTCACACTTTAATCTCTCCTCTTTCTCCCTTTCTCTCTATCTGTCACACACACATATACAGGCCTAGAGTGTCCACTGAGAGCAGAAACACGCCTATGCATGTTCCACATGCACATGCACAGAAAAAGGAAATAAAGGCCTTTAATGCATATCTACCCATCTGTCACATGCATTTTTTTTCCTTTGTCAGCCATTATGAAGCATGAAAAGCAAGGAGGCAATTGACTGCAGCGAAGCACGGTAGAACAAAAAGGATTTAAACACAAGGATGAATCACAACACACAACCACCACCTGTTATATCAATACTGCTCACACCTACCTCTGAGAGATGGAGGCTGATACACGTTTGGATTGACACGTTTTGGCTTGAGCACTCCGTTTTCTCCCACTACCCACTGCGAACAAAGAGAGAGAAACATTACCCCTGATTTTCCTCATCAATTTCTCTTCAAAAATCCCATGTTTGAAGACATTAAAATATTCTGCTGGGAATAAAATGTTACTTAAATCCAGAATGCAAGAATAGGCAAATGTTTATTTAAACGGTTTAACTTCTGGACATGAGATGTCTCCTACTTCACTGAAAAGTCAGTTCTCAGTGTGTATGAACTGACTATGTGTAAGTTGCATACGGGACCATGACTGACTCCAAACTCTGCACAAACAGCAGTGAAGCTGAAACATTAAAGTGACGTAACAACAAGCAAAACAATAAACAATAAAATTTTTGAGTGGAGGGGTTGGGTTGGGTGGGGGGAAACTACAGTGGTCGCAAAATCCGTGAAAAAAATGTGAGAGGCCCTATCTACAGCCAGTTTTTGGTTTGTCCATTTTGGGCTACTGTAGAATCATGGCAGTTCAACATAGCAGACTCCATAAATTGTTATTTGTGATAAAAAAGGTTAATAAAAATAACTAATTCTCAAGTGTCTTTGTTGTAATTTGCCTGTTGTGCCTTCGTTATTGTACATTGCCTCTATTAAGCACTTTGCGACTTATGTCTGTGAAAAGCGCTAGGCTATATAAATACTTTTTACTTACTTACAATGATTCCTATATTCAGGTGATTATACACTGAATTGAAAACATACCCATGAATATTATATTCCATTTCTGCCAATAGATCCTCCTAAATGTTACACACTGGACCTTTAAAAAGTTCTTGGTTTTGAACACAGAACATGAGTTTGTGATGATGGACACATCGGAGGATCCAGCAGGGTTAAAAAAGTTATAAAATTACAAAGTAAATACCAGTTGGGAGCTGACGTTTAACAGGCAGACAGTAGATAATAGAAAAACACAGCATTATGTTGTTTAACGATGAAATGGCCAACTCCAAAATGGTACTTTTGGGGGATTTTTCAGTTCATGGGATAGGGTTGAAAAAGCTGGAGGACAAATGAGACACTTATTATAGAAAAGTGTTTTGACTTCACCTTTACCTGATGGGTGGACTGATCATCCTCAGGGGATGACTGGTCGGCTACTCTAAACAGCGTGGCCGGTGTGGGCCTCCTGCGCCGGATCTATCAACAAACACACACAAACAAAAAGGACAGCCATAAATACATGAATAATTAAACTGGCCAACACTGTATTATTAATAATGTTCAGGAAAGGTCTTATCAATCAGATGGAAAATGTTGACAGTTCATGCTGGTGAAAGGCATGCTGGGGCCTCGCTAACTTCATTAGTGCGGATCCCAGTTGGCTGATGGGTCAACAGCCAACAGCAAGTTTCAGCACTCAATACTAGTAAGGTCAAAGCACATGCCACAGTTAGTAGAACAGAGGAAGACTCATTATGCAACTTTCTGATTTCATAGACAGATACAGTGAAAGGCATGTCACATGGAACAGAAGCTCAATTGATGCTTGTTGCTGCAGTTTCAAATTATCCAGCATTTAATGAGAGTTAAAGCTTTTGATACAGGATTTATTGGAACTGAATGACCTCTTCACACACCAAACAACGTAGTAAGTGAGTTTGATCACCTGAGTGCGCCCTGTACGGTCATATACTCCCTCACAAACAGAGGGACCATGGAAAAGAGGATTTTGGACTAAATGAGCCCTAGCAAACAGCCCAGACACTCCCTCCCCAACCCAACACACTGTTCCCTGGAGGCACAAGCCAGATTGCCGTTGGTCTGAAGGCAGGCGGACTGCAGGTTGACACTTCACCTAGTAGATGCCACTCTATACAGTGAACTCTCTTTCCCTACAGGAACAAATGCCCAGCTGTACACCCTCAGCTCACCAATACTATACCCTGCCTGTGGGACTGCACTCTATGGCAGTTTGGCATTTCTTTTGACAACAACACTGTTGATACAGATACTCAGTTTAGTCCTTTTTAAAGTCATACTCCACCTATCTTTTCTATCTTTTGTGTACCAAACACTCACTCCTTGTTGAGTTGAAAGGAGAGCGTTCAATGTTTATAGATCACAAACATGCCAATACCAGGATGGTGCATGAAGGGCATTTTATGATTGATTTTAAAGACTAAATGGTAAATTGATTAATCAGACAAATAGTCTACAGATTAATCTATGATAATAGTGGATGTTTTGCTTAATTTTTTCCACGGTCACAATTGTTGTCCATTGCAACCAACACATTTCAAGTTTAAAAGCTTCTGTTTTCAATGATGGAGCAAACTGAAAACTTCTCACATTTCAAGCAAATAGGAAGTGAGTGTTTGATACTCACAAGGTACATTTTGTTTGGCACTTTTAATGACCACACTGAAATACCATGAGCAGAATGTGTTGGGCCTTTGCTTCATATAGAAAGATCTCAATGGAGGGCCTAATACTTTGACTCACTTTCCCACCACCAGGATTAATAGCTGACATCTATAAAACTTCCTTTTGGAAAAATGTTGGATTAAAATGCAATGAAAGTGCAATGAGAATAAAAGCAGTTCAGCTAAGTGGACCTGGCAGGCCAGACAAGCAAGTTATTGAAAAGTCTCCTTGGCCACGAAATGAACCTCAGTACTGCTGTTTACGGCACCACCTAACATCACAGGAAGAGAGTTAAGTAGCCTGGCTCTATTTTGCGTAAAACGGCTCCATACAGAGAGATGTGTTTGTGTTTGGTTCTGTCTGTCTTGCTAAGCAAGGTGTGCGTCATCACAGTGAGGCACATGTTGCCAAAGCAGAGGCTTGCTGGGCTGTGTAGGGGAAAGCTGCCGCTGTCAAACACGACAACACAGAGTAATCGAGCGTGGATATCACCCTTATTTATGACACTAGACACACATTTTAATCTTGTCACGCAAGTTCCAGATTTCCTGTCTGCCCTGGATCTCTCACACTATCTGTCTTTCTCTCATTCACCTTTCATTTCCATCTCACTTGATCCTCTGCTTCCTCTATCCTGTTTACTTCCAAGTTCATCATTCATTCCTTGACAGTGACACTACCCTCACTTCTCTCCCCTTCTCCACTCCATCACCAGAATGCGCCATAACTGAAATCATATTACTATTATCCTTTTGTTTGCTGACTTGTCTTTTTCTTTCCTCAATTGATCTCTCCCTTTCTCTCTTTACTGGCAGAGAACATCCACAGGGCTTCCTTCAACCCCCCCTGTGTCTCTCCCATCTCTCCCCCTGGTGAGGTGGAAGCCTGGGGCTCTGTGCTGCTGTGAACCCTGCTGCCTCTGCCTGCCTGACACCTGCTACCAGCCTCGCAGGGCAGCCTGAGGTGGCTCACACAGAGACCCACAAGAGAGAGCAGACACCAGATGTTGCTATGACCAAGCCTATGTCCGAGTCTTGTGGCATTAAAGCCATTAAACTGGGGAAACTACTGGATTGTTCTGCTCGTTAAGTTATGTACCATGCCAACAGATTCTCACATTAACTCTAGAGCCTGAAACTATTTGTCAATTAGTCAATTAGTTTATTGACAGGAAAATAACCTGCAGCTATTTTGAATCTTTTTCTTTTTTCAACAAAAATGCAAAAGAAATCAAAATTACAGCTTCTCAGTTGTGAATATCTGCTGATATCTTTTTGTTTTGGACTATTGATCAGAACAAATAAGACTGTGAGAAACACAATTGGGTCTATTTTCGGATATATTTTATAAACTAAACAATAATCAATCAATTGGGACAATAATAAGCATATTAATCAATGATAAAAAAAATTGCTGCTGCTTTCATTAACTCTAGTTCATTCAATGTTTTACTTCACCAGAATTTCTTGTTTAGTCTAATAACTGTCACATATTACTTCTGTTTTTTAGTTATGTATCATTCTGGTTAAAGTGATGGTAAAGTTTGGGTCATTACTCTCTTTTATGGAAAATACAGCCTTGGATAAACCCAGAGGTATTTCTTCTTTTAATAAATATCTGAAGAAAAACATTTCTCAGCTACTTATCAAGTACAAATTTGAAAGGGGTGACTATAATAACCCAGGCCTTGTGCCTGTATCTAATATTTTGCAATTTTTTAGTGAAAACTACAGGAAATCAAAAGCCAAAAGTGGTCAAAGCTATTAAAAATGTGTCACTGAAAGAGACAGTCCCAGAATAAAAGCAGGAAAAGATTAAAAACTACAGAGTCCAGTTTAATTTATTCAGATGGAGATAAAAATAGGAACGATGAAATAAATGGAAGGTGAAATGATTGTGTGGGATAATTGAGGTCACTGGGAAGCAAAATCTTTACCTGAACCTGTGTGTGTGTGTGTGTGTGTGTGTGTGTGTATGTGTGACTGTCATCATGTAATCATCATGGTAGTCTTGTGAAATGCCAAGGCATGACCTCCTAAATCAAAAAGACCACCACTACTAAAAAGAGTCTCCGTCCCAGGTAAATTATAAAACAGGTTGTAAAGTAGATGAAATTACAAGAAAACAATGAAACCATGGACATCAACATAAATTCAGTTGTAGCAAGAAGACACAGGATCTTTTTTTCTCTTTAATGCGCACAACATGATTGTGACAGTGGTGATGACGTGCTACTGTATGACATTGGCAATGCCAGATGACATAAACACACATTGTAACTCTAGTAATTTTCCAGCCTTAAAACCACCCCCAAGTTACATAATATGTATGTGACTTCCTCATTCACGCCAACCCTGGGGCACTGAGTGCGATTACTCCTGCTACGCTTTATCCCTCCCCCCTCCCTCCTCTACTTCACTAAACCCCCTGCCCCCAATCTCCCAAACCCTCTCCTTCGCTGGCAGCAATTGTTTTTGTACTAAGATCAGTCAAGCTTCTGTGGACTTTCACTGAGGGGCTCTAAGCAGGCTGCTGTGGTGGCCTTTCAGCAGCTCCACAGGTGTACGCCTGCAGGCTTCCCCGAGAGGCAGCAGACCCTCAGTAAGTCTCACACAGAGTTCTGGTCTCAATAAAAACATTGGCTGATGGATCATAGCATAGAAAGGAGATGCATCAGTTTACCTAAAGTTGATGAATGAATTTAAATAATGTGCTGAGTCTGTATTGTGTGACAAAGGAGGTATGATCCTCTTTTATTGAGTTTTTATGCAACAGACATGCCTTTATATTCTTTACTTTCACTGGCTTGTTGATGACTTTGTTTAATCTCCATAAAGCCCTTTGGAGATATGTTTTGAGATGTGCCATATAAGTTTGAGTACAATTTGAGGCAAGGAGGCTAAGTAGTCAGGAAGGAGTCTAATATAGGACTACAATACATCATTGTCTGTTGTGTGGGTTACATGAGTCAGTGGTAAATTGTGACTTAACGCATGTGTGTATATGTGTATAAGGTATGGGTGTGTTGGCTCAGCACAGTCTTGCGTAGCAGCCTGGGTGCAGATCATCTGATATGGGTCTGCTCCCCAGAGGCCATCCTCTAAGCTGGTGCTCTTGTGGCCGGGCCTATAAAAAGCAGCAGCAGTAGGACAGCATAAACTAGATCGGGGGGTCTCTGGGGCCTTGGCGGGATGAGACAGAAAGGCTCTAAAACTCTGCCCCGCACCAGCGCTAACAGTCGAGCTTCTTGAGGTGAGTCAGCTGTGCAGATGGCCTCAACACAAAGACAACACAGAGAGAAACACACCTCAGATTATCTCTTTCCCTGTCAGCTTACATCTCATGTCCAATATCACTGCATTACATCGGGCCATCCTATTAAGCAGCGTGTGTCAATTCTTGCAAATAGATGTGGGAGCATCCATATGAAGCTTTTTTGAGCCTCGATCTCTACCTCATAGCTATAACCCAGCTCCACATGGATAGATATGGATTTGTACAAGATTGATTTGCAGTTATGGCATCTGCCCACAGGCACATGGCACTACTTCACTCAGAAATAAGCACGTGCATGGCATACAGGACACCAATGGGGACATGCTCAAAATGTTCAGCCAGAAACTGTGGGAACTCAAGTAAATTTGCAATGCAAAGAAATGTAGGTCTTGTTTCTTTTCCCTCCTCAAATAGTGTTTCTAAGTGGTGTGACTCTGCTGTTCCCAGGGAAGATGGATGAAATGTTTATTTTGTGATCCTTTATTTTTTTAATATTG